AATTGCGAGTGAACTTTTGAAAATCGAGTATTGTCACAAAAAATGGCAGTAAACTTTCGAAACTTGCAGACGAACTTTTGAATTTGTCAGCGGACTTCTAAAATGTGCGTGAAATTGGCCGTAATTACGAACAATTTTTAAAACTTTGCCGGCAACATTCTGAAATTGACATCGAACCAACGTTATGAACATTGTGGGATAACTTGTGAGATTTTTTGAACAAGATATTCGATACCAAACTTTCGAAAATGGGCGTGATATTGATCGCGAGCTACGATGTTTGACAACAAAACTTCTAAATTTTTTTCTTAAATATTGAATAATTGGTTAGTGAACGTCATTAGTAAAGTCTCAACAAGAGACAGAGCATGTTTGAGAGTTCGTGCATTTATCCGAGATTTTATACTAATGAGGGATCGTTCGGTTACCGCTATAAGGTTTTACTGACTAAATAGTACGGGGTCATACCCAGGGGCGGAGCCAGGGGGGGAAAGTAGGGGGGGTTAAGTAAAATTTCGGGGTTCGGGACAGCACCCCGTAAACAAAATATATATATACATACATATATATATATATATATATATATATATATATATATATATATATATATATATATATATATATATATATATATATATATATAATTTTATCATATTTGAAGCATGACAAAAAAAATTAAATTATTATAATAATATAATTGCACTTAATGGGATTCATGGCACCGTTTTATATTATTTTGTAGAGATATTGATATACAAAAATCAAAGATCGATAAGTAAATATTCATAAATTTTATTTAAAATAGTACAAGTTTTAATAATTTTATTTTACATTTTTATATTAAATATGATATATATATATATATCTATAATTTATGTAAAATTATGGAGAATAAATAAAAAAAATTAAGGGTTAAGACACATATTTACAAAACCTTTGGAGGAGCAAAAGTAATATTCAAAAAATATAATATCAAAATAGCTAAAAAAAAAAAAAAATCTTGGGGGCCCCCTACCTTTAGTGGCACCGCCACTGGTTGTTCGTGAGCTCGCGAACCGATTCACGAGCTTTTTAAAAAAAAACTATTTTTTTTAAATATAATTAATATAAAATAAATAATAAACTCATATGATTAAAAAATAAATTACATGCCATTTTTTTATTTCAATTTTTTTATGATATAATTTATAATAATAAATTTCTAATAATATTATTTCAAGAATGGTGAATTTATGATATTGTTTTAGGGTGAACTTCAATTTTCGGGTGGTTAACAAACTATATGTTAAGTAATTATTAATTAGAGATTATTTGACAAACTCTCCTCATATACAATTGAGATGAGCCCAAAATATTTTTTCAATTTTAAGATAAATCCAAACATTTTTTGATTATCATAAATAATACATTGTCATATAATACCCTTAGTCCAAACCATTAAATACCTATTTTTTCTCATTTTCTATTTCTTCACATCCCCAACTTTTTCCTCCCACATCTCCCCTCACGCTGATGTTTTTTTTTTCCCTTAACAATCGCTGCATCCTGTCTCTTTTCTCCCTATCGCTGTCGCACTCTCTTTTATCTTCACCGTTGCCCTCACATGTAGAATTCGTCTCCCACGAGGACTTTGACTTTTCGTTATACACTATTGCGTAGAGTGAATTTTGACTAATAGGGTATAATTTGTGAGGAGAGAATAATAGAAGAAAGAAGAAGAGAAGTTTAATAAGAGAAGAAGACTAAGTAAATAGTTACGTTCTCATATCTCGCTATTAATTAATAGGGAAAATTTGACAAAATCTCCTCATCACACAATTACAATTACAATGAGTCTAAATTTATTTCGTATTTTTAAAACAAATCCAATACGTCTTTCATTAATACAAATTAATTAAATATCACAATTATACCCTTACCTTATTATAACATATCTTAGGGTTGAATATAATTATACGTAATATATGTTCCTTAATATCACGTTCTCAATTATTACACCCACAAGTCTCTCCTTCAACATGAATAAACGTGTATTTCTTTTTTCTCTTTAGACGTGATTTTCTTCCCTTTTTTCTATTATTGTAGCGCTTCTCTCTTTCCCGTTCAGCCTCCGCGCCTGTCTCTTCTCTCTTCACTGGCGCCGAGCAATCTCTATGCGGTGGTAGAAAAAAATATTTTTTTTGTCGTTTCAATCATCTTTCTATGTATTTAGGGTTTGTGGGGCGGTCCCTATTTGATAAAGATACTTTGAAAAAAAATTATTCATTCATATAAATTATTGTTTTGTACAAAATGATAATATATTATTATTTTTAATATTGCACCTTGGATAATTTTTTTTTTTATAAAATTTTGGCATCGGGACTATCCATGACAAACTTTATAAATTAGTCATATTGGTGTTATGTATAAATCTGTTAAAACGGAAAATGAACGAGGAAATAATAATTATAATTAAAAGGAATGATAGTGATGATACATTGCATATTTGTATGTTGGAAAGAATTTGCTTATAAAAGCTTCCCACATTTTGTTCCCACCAACGATGGTGTGACAACATGATTTGCTATTGGAAATTGGTTTTCATTTGCTAAATATTTTTTTCTTGTTCAAATTGATGTATTGACCCTCGTCGGCCTTGTTGGTGGTGGTGTGCTAGTCTTGCACTTTTTCCTGGACACTGTAGTGGTTTACATTTCAAATAGTGAATTTTTGAATAGTGGATTTATGAATAGTGACTTTGCATTTTTTGTTATTTTTGAGTTGTGTTAGTAGTGGATTACGTTAATCTTATAGTGATTTTCAATGAATTTGTAGTAGTCTCCGATGAGTGTATAGTGGATTTTAATTTTGGTAACCCTGATGGAAAATAAAACTTGAAAAAAAAATTGAAAATAAAACAAGGCATTTGATCCGGACAGATTTACACAGCCCAATGAGGCAAGGCCCAACAGAGTTGGCCCACACTCATGGAGAAGATAAAACCACATGGGATCCGGGCTTATTTGCCCATTTCATCGGATCTTTATAAATGACCCAAAACATTGAGCCCACTAGTGCAAGGCCCAGAGAATATAAGGCATTGTGAGTAAAGACGAACTAGGAGACCCCGACGAGCTGGAAATGAGCTAAAGATAGCTCACAAGTGCCAAGTGTCGAGCGCCGAGCATCGAGCCCGAGTGACGAGCCAACGAGCGCCCAGCCGACGAGTGCTCAGCCAACGAGCGCTCAGCCAGCGAGCACCGAGCCGACGAGCGTCGAGCGTCGAGCCGACGAGCGCCGAGCACCGAGTGACGAGCCCCGATCGAGCGACAAACCGACGAACGTCGAGCGCCAAAGTGACGAGTGTCAAGCGATGATCGGTAAGCTGAAGATGCCACCTCATAACTTAGACACTAAGAATAGAAAATATCTTTCATAACTTAACCACTAAGATTTATAGTCATGGACTTGAAATAATTCTATAGTCGAATTGGATAAAAGCAATGGCATCCGGAAAGTCTTTCCTATAAATAGAGGGTTCATAAACCTCAACGTAAGCATTCTTGATCTTAACACACTATTTTCTCTCGAATATATTTATCTCCGAATCTTTGAGGTGTTCTAACTTGGGCGTCGGAGTGCTAACGCCGAGAGCACCTCTCCCGATCCCTTTTGCAGGTCCGCGACGAAGAGGCCTAACATGGAACGGACTTAAAAGATTCGAGATTCATCGAAGCGGAAAAACCCAACAGCATCAGCATTAAAAACCATATTTTTTAAACCTTGTGAAAAAAATAAACTGAAATAAAATAAAAGTAATATTTTGTTTTAGAATTGAAATTAAAAAAATTATATTGTTTCTGACAAAAAATAAAAAGAAAAAGAAAAACTAAAATGACGTTAGATTTGTGAGGAGTTATTTTGGAGAAAAGTATAATATAGGCATTTCGGATGATTTAAGTCAAATTGATTTATGACAAATACTAATTAATAAAATGGATTTATCATGAAGTTGAAATTCAATGAGGGGTTGTCAAATAGCTCCTAATTAATATGGATCTATTAGAATTTTTAACCATTTATTATCTTATAAATTTTAGTGAATTAATGATTCAGCATGGTGTCCCTAAGTCGATGCTGACATATATATGCGAAGTTATTAATTAATCGAGTATTAATTTATCAAGGTCGTACCGAAGTAAACTAAAGTAGTTTCGGAGACGACGCAAAATTTTGTTTTCGACGAAATTAATTTAATCACCAAACTTTGTTCTGCTTATCCAAACATTAGATTTAATTTTGGAGAGACATTTTGTAATATTAAATACACATGCATATGAAGCTCACAACATTTTTCAACTTTAACAAAAGACTTCACCATAAGAACTTGAAAGCCACAACTCCTATAAACGTTAGAACAACAAGAGATGGCGAAGACACTGTGGACGAACTTGAGGCGGAGTTGGGGTTGACCACCGGTCTAATCCACGGATTTTCACTTCGCCCCTCCGGAAACTCAGGTGGAGCCGCCGGTGCAATATCCAAACTTCCAGTCGGCGGTGGAGCAGCCACGGCCGCCACAGCTTTAGAAGCTGTAAGAAGATGAATTAAGGAAAAAACAAATATTGAACGAGTAAATTGAATGCACGTGCTGAATCGAAAGTATTACCTTTTGGACTATAACTATGAGGAGAAGGAGCATGAGCATGAGTTGGAGATGGAGCTGGAGATGGAGGTCGAGGTCGAGGTTGAGGTGGCCCAAACAAAACGGGACCTGAATAATGCCGTTTATCAACTTTTAGCCATCTATATCATTAAAATTTCTAAAAATAGTTTCGTACATGCTGGAACACTATAAAAATATTCACGAGACAAATGTAGGTAAATGTAAGATTGATGCAAACGTACCTGGAGCCGGTAAGGGAATTCCGGAGGCTACCAAAAAAAAGGATAGAAAAAAAATGAATCATTGGTTAGAAAAGGGACTCAACAGAATTAATGTGGCAAGAATTAAAAGAAAATCTTGGATTTGTTTTTTACTTTTTACCTTGGCACTGTAACGGGACGGAATTTTGGCAGACTCGAGGGAGTGAAATAGCCAAGTTGGCATTGAGGAAAGGTAACGAGAAGGGCACATTTCCAGTGACAATGAGACAAACGCAATCCATGTTATTAGTCATGACAGATTTCAATGAATCGCAGCAGTCTTTAGTAGGGGAAGAAGCGGTCCCACTACTCCCGGTGACGTAGTTTATGCAAGGGGTGAATGTGGTTATCACTGAACTCGTGCACGGTGTGCTTATTATCTGCTGTGCTTTTGCTCCGAAAAGTAGCACTGATGATATAATTAGCACGATTAGTGCAACTAGTGTTGCACTCAGGTATGAATGAGCCATCGTCGTATCTTTTTGATTGGTTCGTTTTTGGGAAAATCGACAAGTTAAAAATTGTTGATGTTATGGTTGAGGATGTGTTTTGGACCTTATAAACTAGTTTTTTTTTTTTTTAAATGGGAGGAAAAGCTGGTGGATTTGAAACTGGCGTTTTTGAAGCTCAACCACTTTGACTATTTTCTTAGTTTATTTTCTTATGGAAATGGGTAAATCGAATCGTTTCTCATCTACCAATTCGACATGGAATGGGAGAAGAGTGTTTTGTTCTAGGAAAATCGGGAGCAATAGCAAAGCACTAACGTGGTCGAATAGTTGAGGCAAATTTTTGACAAATACAAGTAGTGGTTTAGAGTTGGCCAACAAATTAAAACAGATGTATTTATATATATATGTGTTTTCTATTCTAATTCCACCAAGAAATGTCTGGTTAACTATGCATCTTTTAATTTCCCTCAATATTTTCACCTCGACTGTAAAATTTCATGATCGATCGACTTAATACGATGTCGTGCGACTGGATTGCTATTTATATGTTCCTCGTTACTAGTTTTTCTTTGTCTGATTTCTGTTTTTGAAATGTTCTGGCCGAGGGTTTTCTCTCGCTTTCCATTACTAGTCAACTATCTGTTTTATTTGAATCTCCTCTACACAAATTTGGCAACCAAGAAAAACAACGGTTGATTTCGCAAGAACTATCAGCAATCACGATTATGATTTTAAAAGGTACCATTTTCCAAACATAAAATGGACAGCCAATTTCAGTAGATAATTTACACATCTAAACACAACAACATGCATATGTAATTCAAACGACAACCTATTAACCTGAAATATTATTTGGTTTAAACTTTTTAACATATACAATTCTTAGATAATTTAGAAGAAAGTCCTCTCCGAGTAGCAACCACTCTGACAGTTCCAGTGACTAAAAACAACGTAGAACTAAACCAAACTAAACAAGGGCAAAGTTCGACAACACAGATAGAATATTAGAAAACAAATATGGAAAATGAAATTAGCAAACATCATTAAAAAGATAACTGATAATTTCATCAAAGAGTCGATATAAACAAGTTCGACAACACTTGTAAATAAAACAAAACCAGACAAAGATAGTTCAATACTATCACAAACGAAAGATAGTTCACTGCTATCACAAACGAAAGACATAAGACGGTGCATAATGCTCCAAGGAAAATTAACATATATAAGAACAGAATAACAAACTGACTAATACAACCAGGTACTGACACGGCCTTTCGAAGAATCTCTTCTCCCATCAGCAACTCGTATAGCCACTGTCAAAACCACAGAAAATATGTAATTATTAAATGTTAACATCAATGCATGTGATGTGAGAATCGGGTAAAAATAGAACAAGACTCGGATAAATTACCTGTAATTGTCTTGGTGTGATCGACACTTTTCAACGACAAACGGAACTTCAGAACAAGATGAAACGGTGCATCTCAATTTCGAGCGAGAGTAGGACAAAAGCTTACAAGGTATAGCACAAAACAGAACAACCCCAAAGCACTACCGTGCGGATCGTCTAATTCCTATTTCCCTTCCCATTATTTCTTTTTCAAAAACCAGAAAATATGGCAAGGGAAAAACCACATCTTTGCGTAGCAAAGACGTTGAAGTCAGCTACTACTTCTAAGGAATAAAAAAAAAAAAAAAAAAAAAAGATAAAGCAACGAGAGCACAGGTGGTGAACGGACAAATACTACAGGAAACCTTCGGCTATTTTTTGAGAGGATAAATCAGAATGATAACCGAGTATCGAGGCTAATAGGCAAGATTGGGGTAGGGAGTTAAAACTAAATCCTATTGGACCTACAAGATTTTACTTTCTACAGAATATACAAGCTTTGTTTCGAAGAAAAACGACTCTAATGAGTAAAGGGTACGCGAGAATGAAACTAAGCTAAACCATAGACCAATATTACTTGCTATATACATACAGTCATCCAACAAAGCATATAAAACTTCCTTATCTACAGGGAGCACCAAGCACGTAGCCCCCACCACCCCTTCAATCGCTGGAGATATCGAGATTGAGGATTCGACGAAGGGTCTTCGTCGCGGAGTCAGCATTATCAAACAGGTCATTAGGCGAAGGGCAGTTCCACCTTGTCGGTGAAGCGGGCGCAGATTTGGCAATCGGGTGCAAATCAATTTCTGACACCATAGAAGGCAAGTCGAGCGAAACGGTTCTTTTGGGCCGCATAGAAAATTTGGGCAACGGCAAAGAACTTGGCGGAGGGGAATTCGAGTAAGTGGGTCCAGCCCAGCGCTCGGAGAAACGGTACTCCCTCTCCTTGTTCTCGAAATTCATCTTAATAGGGATTGGAGCAGTGCCGATTTTAACACTTCCTTTCGAGCCTTTCTGATTTTTGACAAAATACGGAGACGGGGTTTTGGGCGACAAAGGAGCAGAGAGGGCATTTTTAGCTACAGGGGTGGAGAAAGATTTTAATGGGGTAGGTAGTAAACCTGCTCCAGACTGATACGCCGCCCGGCAACTAATTCCGGTGTATATTTCCGGCGAAGAGGAATCAAACGAATCAAATTTGGTGGGACCACAGACAGGGTTATTAAACCGGTGGTGGCTCCTATGATGAGCAACAACTAGAGTCTCCATCTCGAATCAACTCAGTGAGTCAACTCAGCTCAGATTCTATCACTACTTTTTTTTTTTCCAACTCAACAAAAACAAGGATCTTAGATCTCCGCCACAACCACCAAAAAAAAAAACCTCAGCAAACCGTATGTATGTGTTCACAACAAACCACCCCTTACTCTTCAGTTTTCTCAGATCTACAAACATCAAATTAAAAAAAAAAAAAAAAAATTAAAACGGAGAAATGAAAATCGAATCTTCGGGAGAAAAAAAGCACAAATCTGCAAACAAAAGCAGCACCATGTGAAGTGGGAAACTAGATTCAAATGGTGGATTACCTGATTTTGCGAACGAGGACGGCGAAATCTTCGATCTTTAGATACTGTGTTTGGATAGACTGTGTGTGTAGGTGTGTGACTGTGTGTGCATAGGAAAGTGTGATTTTTAGAGAGAGAGAGAGAGAGAGAGAGAGAGGAGGAAAATGGTAACTGCACAAAGTTATATATAAATATCGTCCATAGGAATGACGTGCAGCGTTGCCACCTTGGCCCTAGCCATATCGTGTGGAACGTTAACCGACGTACCAATGCAAACTTAAAAGACAATTTTGCCCTCCATATTACGTTAGAAAGATAATTCAAATATATATATTTTATTTTATTTTTGTAGAGAAGAAACTTGTGTGAGTAACGGGCAAAAACCTTTCTTTACCATGTAATTATTTTAATCGCACTATCAATGTTGTCAGAACCGAACGGGCTATGAAATCGATCGACTATTTGGGTCATGGTTTTATAGGGTCGAATCAGTTCAGCAGGGTTTTTTTTTTTTTCTAAAATTTTATTATTTTATTAATTTTAATGTTTTAAAAATACGATTTCATTTATATTTTTTGATCTCCCACCTAGGGGTGGTAAACGAGCCGAGCCGGCTCGCGAACTCGACGAGCCGGCTCGAAAAAAGCTCGAACTCGAGCTCGGGTTTTTCGAGCTCGAACTCGAGCTCACGAGCTCGAGCTTCGGACGAGCTCGAGCTCGAGCCCAAAATTAGTTGTTCGGCAGCTCGCGAGCCGGCTCGCGAGCTCCCTTCTTTCTTATATTTTCTTTTTTTTTTCTTTTTACATATATATATATATATATATATATATATATATATATATATATATATATATATATATATTATTCTTATTCTTATTATTATTATTATTATTATTATTATTATTATTATTAGGGTAAATTACAAAAACCCCCCTGAGGTATGGTCAAATTACAAAAACACTCCTCTTGTTTGGATAATTACAACCACCCCCTCAACTCCTCAAATTTTTTGGAATCTTCGATATTATATGGAATATTATCACTTTTGTACCCGTTTTATCCCATTCAAACTCTTCATTATGAAGCAAGATGATCATAATATGTGACTTTTAGCTTGTATATATCAGTTTGTGGTGCATCGGAAACTGTATTTTTACACAAAACGAGTACAAACTAGAGCACATTTCACGGAATCTAGATGATTATGTTGAATTTGGCACCATAAGGGTGGAGGTGTAAGAAAAAAATCATAGTTGAGGGGGGTAGATGTAATTATCCAAACAAGAAGGGTTTTTTTGTAATTTGAGCATACCTCAGGGGGGTGTTTGTAATTTACCCATATTATTAACTAAATAGTAAATAGTCTATAATAATAAATATATCTAGTATTTAAATAGAAACAAATCTATATTACTTAAATAATTCATAATAATATAAAATATTATAATAATAATAATAATAATAATAATAATAATTGAAAAAATAAAAAATATATATAACTAGAGTTCATTATTTATTTTATAATATTTTTTTATTTTCCTATGAATAAATTTTAATAAAAAAAATGATTTTAATGAAAAATTAAATAATAATAATAAAATAAAAAAATAAAATAAAAATAAAAATTAAATAAGCTCGAGCTCGAGCTCGAGCCAAAAAAAATTGGCTCGATGAGCTCGAGCTCGAGCTCGGCAACATGGACTCGAGCTCGAGCTCGAGCTGGCCAAAAGAGCCGAGCTCGGCTCGAGCTCGGCTCGTTCCCACCCCTACTCCCACCTATTATTTCACTTTTATCTACATCGATCTACTTTTTCACTATATTTCTTTTGCTTGCACTTTATATTTTTCATTTTTTATCCTCCAAATCCGGCAATCGGCCACCCATATTCAACCACACATGACCATATCCGGCAATCCTTCGACCACCAATGACTAGATCTGATCTCCCACAACTAAGTTCGTGAAGATTCGCTCAAATCTACCCACAAATAACCAACTCAGGCGGTGATTTGAGATGTTTTGGCCGAAAAGTGGGTTCATTACCGACTCGCCGGTCGAACCGGATTTTGGTCATTTAACCCCGATTTTCAGTTTTTTCGATTTTAGAGGTCAAACTGGATCGTCTCATCCCCGGGTCACGGCCGAACCGGTTCGACCGACCGGTTATGTCCGATTCTAACAACATTGAGGACTATTAGTGATAACCTCCTCTAGTTTTTTTTTTTTTTTAAATAAGAGTGGATCCACCCTTATTTTCAATATCAGTAGTAAGTCCAGCTTTCTTCATATTCCAAATGGCTTATTTTATATACCCCTCTAGGTGCTTAATAAACTAGGGACAAACCCAAATAGAATTTTTCATTTGGCATACCCCTGGCGATAGGAAAGTACAACACTACCCCCAATGGTATAGTACGTTGTGAATAAAATATAAATCAAATCCCACTAAAAACGTGCATTACCCAAAAAAACACACATCCACGCAACAAATAACACACAAGATCATCTTCTCAAAACTGTCGAAACCGCACGCAATCTTCAAACAAATTTGTTCAGAAAAAATCCTCTCACAACCTCTTCGCCGTCGAATTTAAGGTTGTCTACAGCTTAAAAAAATGGGGCTTAAAGCAAAATCAAGCAAAAAAACAAGTAATTTGGCAGAAAAATTGTGTTGCGATTAGCGCTTGCTTTTGGGTTTTTTTTCTTAGTTTTTACAGATCCATGACTCGCATTAGTCATGCTTCGTCGTACACTAGTGCTTGTAGTTTAATATTTTTTAAATCTTACCTAGAGCATATTCTCTACCCAGGAAAGCATAAAAGGACTGAGGCCGAAGAATTGGATACCCTAGACGCAGGTATATTTCTTTCTCTTCACCATTTATTTCTGTTTTTCTCCATTTCTACACAAAAATTGATGGTTGTATGTAGTAATTTTACCGTTGAGACAGACCCTACAAACAAATGATGTGTCGTGTGTCATTGGGAAACAACAAAAGTATTTACATATCTTCATCGTCCGTGATATCTCTGTTTTAATTACTGCAGATCAAGAAACAATCTAGCGCGCCACGCACTGGATCATGGGGGGTATACTATAGAATATTGTACGAGACTACATAAAACAGTAACTTCTTCTCCAATGTTCACCTCCGACCAGAATACTATGATTGCCTCCGACGTACACCATTCCACAATCATGTCCTCCCATTTTCCAAACACAAGATAAGTGAGGCATCGGTTACTGGAACACATATGGGGGTTTGAATTGATAGTCGGTATAAAATCAGGCCCTATATGAATGCGTTTCGACAGATCGCAGCGGCCAAACGAAGGCATGATGGAAAGAAAATTTCCAAATTACAATCAACTACCAATTTCGGATGTAAAAAAACAGCCAATATAGTCATTGGCTGGGAGAGCGCAAGAAGACGTCGAGAACGTAACCAGGTTAATAGTGCTACATCTGATGTGCAACTGCCTCTTCAATTCATCAACACGCATAGTGGCTCGGTGGATGTTCAAATATTGCGACAACATTGTCAATAGAACAAATATAATTGGGCACGAGAGGTGACATAATTCTTCCTAGACCATGTCAGATTCGTCCCTGCAGAAAAAGTGAAAGGGTGCACACCATTACTGCTGGTGAGTTTACTGCCTACAAAAAATTATATGGTCAATGCAGTATGCAGTTATATGTACTAACATGTTGTTATGTTTACTGTTTAATACCAATATTGTGTGCAGCTGTATTACTAATTTGCAATGCTTTCTGCAACTTTTGTGCAGTTTTGGGTATGCGAGCGCAACAATCTGCTTGTGTCAACCGCTCCAAACGCATTAAAGAACCTAACAGACCTGGCAAAACTGATTAAAGAAAAGGCAACTCCCACTGTTGGGAATCGGCCACGTGTACGCAATGGAAAATAAATTTTTTATATGAAATAAACAATTTAATTCACATAAACACATGCTCGATTCGTATTAAGCAATTAATTACGTACCTTAACTCTTCCAGCGAAAATTAAGAACAACGTGCGTATAATTAATTCGATAATAAGTCACATAACATGCTCGCAGTAAATCATGAATTCATACAAACAATTACATACAGCAATTCACGAAAATTCATACTGCAAATATTAACATATCATTTAATCTAATTAAATTAATACCTAATAAAAACGGGATCCGAAAAATACCTCTTGAAGATTGAGGCAAACTCTCGGATTAAAGCAAACTGCCACGGAAATCAATCCGTGCAGTCGGGAGGAGCAACGGAGGTGCAGCGGCGACGGACACGCTCAACGAAGGCGGCGCGTGAGATCCACGCGCTGTCTTCGAGCGGCGCGTGGGGGCGCGTGCGATGGTGCTTTGTCGATGGATTCTCGGCAATTCGACTCCTTGGTCTTCTTTCTCTCGGATTTCACCTCGTATACCGAGATCTACTAAATATGTGGAACTAGACACGCAAAAGTCAGAATAGACGGAAGAAAAAGATAAAATGAAAGAAACTATCAATAGCGATCGGCGCGTGAGGCCGATTCTGGCGACGGCGGCGACGGCGGAGGAGGAGAATCGGCCGAGGGTTGTGAAAGAGCGGCTAGGGTTTTCTTTTGTGTGTTGTGTTTTTTTTTTTTTTTTTTTTGGTGCAAGACCTTTAAATCTTGTATTTATAGTGTCTTGTATAAAAGCCCTAACGGGGTTAATTTGGATTAGTTCAACAACTTAAGTTCGTTAGTCTTTACTCGCTCGTTTCTCACAACTCAATGATCGGAAAAATTATAATGATTACATTTTCGGAATCATTGAAACGTCCTTGTCATTACGAGTGCCAATTCTCGATTGCCAATTTCCAAAAGTGGAAACCCTAATTCAGTGGACTTTCTAAATTTGAAAACTTCCCAATTTAGAAACTTAGCTAAGTTGTTCGCCTATTCTTTTCCTTTTCTTATTCTCATTCATAATTTCAAATTACGAATGTTGGACTCAATCACATTGACTTCCAATCATGCAAAGATTAAACATTTTTATCTTTGACCGTTTATTCAAAGATCTCGAGTGCACGAGCAGTGTGACCCTCAATGGTTTAGGTGTAAGCTAGTTGTGGGTCTACAACCCCTTGTGGTTTAAACTCGTCCATAGAGTTACGATTAAAATGAAGCTCGTTTCAACTTAATCACCCAACAAATCAAGATTGACGTCTAGCAACTACGAGTCATGATTTCGTAGATACAAATGAAGTGCCTGCAAGAAACTTTTGATATAGTTAACGTACAGTACGATCCCTTCGATTCATATGTCCCGATTGAACTAGAGGAATTGGTTCATCGAGACCTCCTTAGTAGTTCAATAAATGTGCGATCGTTCTAAGTTTTGTAATCGGTACGTGCATGACTTAGAGAATCGAACTCTAATCATCACTTACTCAACTCTGGCGAGAGACTTAGATATTACAAACTATGAGAACACACAGGACATCCAAGACTATTCTAGCAATCGAATCCCCGACTACAATGCACAGACCTCCCACTAGATTTCAGACTGCACGAACACTGGCCATTGCGGCGGTCCTCGGTGGATCTCAGGGACATGTCATGATACAACTGGTCCTCTAGTGAAGTCACGGTGATGTCTATGTCTTAAGAACTAATGGTGTACAACTATACCATAGATATCTCTGCTCGATTATTGAGAACCACTTAGAGATTTCTAAGGTGAGAGAGTTCAGTGAACTCGTCAACTTATGAGCACCCACTTATGCATGCCGATATCACAATACCGTTTACTGATGAGATGCAGTACACATACACTAAGTGCTAGTCCCTTAATGGGAAAGGCCGATATCCTCATTGGTGGTGTAACCTTTCGACTAGGAACACGTTTAACAGTTATAATACTTAAGTAAATATCTCATGATCCTAAAAGATCAATTACAAGTACTTGTAATAACTGTAAGGACTACATCTATGTTTGAACAATGGACAAAGATATAGATTGCCAAGGTGTTTTATCATTAATACGAAAAATCAGTATTTATTACAAGAATAAATGGAAAGACCACAGCCACAAGTTGGCTTGTTGGTCACCTACTCTAACACCGATGAGGAGCTACCTCGCTCGGTAATAAGACTCGTTGCGAGACAACTCTAACGAGGAGACAACTCGCTCAGAGCGACCTCAATCCGCACGCTCCTCAGTCGCGCGTCATCCAACGCTCCCACAACTTCGGTGCGAGACAACTCACACGATGAGACAACTCGTTCGCAATTCACTACACAATCGCAAGCTTAAGTTAGCATGATTACAACCTTAGAAACACTTAGAGATATTATGAGAATCTATATAGCCTGACCAGCTTGATTATTCAAATTTATCTACTTGTTTTCGACGGGTCCTTCATTAAAACGTGGCCACGGTCCTAATATACATACGACCCACGAGGTCTAACAAGGGGCACGATCCCCATAAAAAAATCTTGAGATTCTGATCCACTCATCATGTACATCACGCACAAGGCTATATGTAAACACATATAAGCAACGCGTCAAACCATTGACAATGTCAATAAATAACAACTCCCATGAGGAGATAACTCGCCCTGTGCCATTATATTGTTGCGAGACAACTCCCACAAGGAGATAACTCGGTCAAAAAACAACTCTATTACCCCGCGATGAGATAACTCCAATGAGGAGATAATCGCTCCTTGCTACTACATCATCGTGAAACAACTCCGATGACTCAAGTAACTTGCATCCCGACAACTTGGTCGCGCCCCGCGTTACCATCGCAAGACTCCGGCCACGTGCCAACGTGCCTTCGCACCCCTCCGACCCACGCTCTAACACGTTTTCGCACACCACTAGACCATACACCAGCTCGGGACCACAACAATATTTACTCTCGACACAATCTGGAACCCATTCCGACATGGCCCCCACATCGACTCGAGAGTGGGGGGATTAATGATATGCCTAATTGGGCCAACCCAATGGGTCTACAATTTATTTACCTACTGGGTCACGAGCCCAATATTGAATACCACTACCACCGAGGCCCAATCACCTTCGAATAATGTTTGAGCCCAACAATCTCAACTAAGGTACAAATAACGATTTAATTCATTTATTAAGGAGAGGCCTTATTATCTGAGTAATACTATAATTTGTATTCTCCCAACTACTTCAATATCCGCACGTTTGACTTGATCGTCTGAGGGGTTTCCGCCGGATCAACCCCCCGCCTAGTCACGTGTTCTCTGTTCGCAGGTATCTCAGAACCAACTGGTTCGTGAGCCAGTGATCCAATTTGCTCTCTCAGCTCCTTCTACCTCAACAACTTAAGGTGATATATATATATATATATATATATATATATATATATATATATATATATATATATATATATAATTTTGAAAAATATAAAAATTACAATTTAATTTAAAAGACATATTGAATTTTGATTTTTTAAAATTTTGAAATTTTGAAAAATTTCTCAATTATTATTTTCACTTATAAATACCCCTAATCCAATCTTCACAACTTTCATTTTATTTAGTTTATGCCTCAAGGTCTTAATCGTTTCCTTTGTTCTAAAATTGTTTAGTGTTTAAATTCAATTTTTTTTTTTTTTTGTAATTTTGAATTTAAAGTTAATCTCAATTTTTTTCAAATTTTAATTCAAGTTTTTTTTCTTTCTTGTAATTATTAGGAAAAAAAATAAAAAAATTAAATTGGAAAACTGGTTTGGACCCGGGTCCGACCCGGACCCGAATGGACCCGCCCCGGACCCGGACCCGCCTCCCCACGGGTTGGTTTCGGGTCCTCAAAAAGTCGGACCCGACCCGCCCTGTGACCGTGTCTATACCTCGTGACCTCGTGAATGTTTATCTAAATAATAAAGGGAAAATGTTTTTAAATTCTATTGGTTTGAAATTTGGAGTCTTAAATAAATGTCCATACTTAAATTTTATATTTTATTGGTCTAAAGTCTCCAATTTACAGGTCCAATTGAAGTTTAGTTTCAGATTTTATTTATTTTTTAAAGAAATATTTTTCTATCCCAAAGGCCCCAATTCCCATATTTAAGGACTTCTTTGTTATTTCCCCATATTTTTTGGTACAACCACTTTTCTCTTATTAGTCATCAATTTACATTTTTTTTCTTCTGATTTCGAATAGCTAACCAAGTAACATACTCATTTAAAAAGTACATGATTCAAGTTTGTTAATTTAAGAGTGAAAAATAGGTAAAAATATTGAATTGGTCAAAAATAGTTATATATAAGATCATTTACGGAAGAGCTTCCAACGGATTTTCGGAAATTTGGGATCAGGATTCAAATTTTTACTACCAGAACTTGCGTTCTCAAAAGATTTTCGCAAAAAATATTCCTGAGAAAAGTGTAGGTTTATAGCTTTCAATTCTGCACACTACGTTATATGACTGTAACAATAATCCAATTGAGCAAAAATAGATAGATCCCTTAAATCTGAAAGCAAAAATACAAAGCAATTTCACATGTAGATCAAATAGAATGCAAACAATGAATATCAATACCGTAATCATCAACACCATCAAATCAAGAATTCCAACTTGCTTGCAAGCACATTCCAACAAGTATTGACTAGTAGATAAAAGTCTATATTAACAACAACCCCAAGAAAATAAGTAAACAATTCCAGCTGAAAACCGGCAATCACTCAAATGATCGTGATAATTACCTCTTTACAACTGAGTAGCTTCCATTATAAAGCCCCATTTGTCTCAAAAAAATTCAACAAACTAAATCAAATTACAAACTTTTAAACTTAGAAATTAGAACCTCAACTTTCAAGTCTAAGGAACATGATCTGGTTTATATGGAATGAAAAGTAAACACAAATCTTTTCGCTGGACTTGGAGTTTGGAAATGAATGATTTAGTGGGCACAAAAGGAAGTCCATAATTTACAGCAAGAACTTACAAAAGAGACGGATTTAAAGCGCAAATACTTAAATAGAATACTCCGTTAGATTATCGAGAACCATCTATGCAAAACAGAACATATATCCATAAGAGAAAACCTTATGCAGTAACGGCACCATGTTTGTCGATTTCCCTCTGCAAATCTTTGATCATAGGGCGAACAATCCTATGCACTTCCTTTCCTTCTTTAAGGAACACAAAGGTGGGTGTAGCCTCAACTTGGAATTCCTCACAGACAGTCTGCACAAAATGTTATGAATTAATCAAATCAAATTTCTAATCTAAAAGAATTGATCGAAAAATGTTGAAGTAATAGCAAGGTGCAAAATAACATAACTTAAGCTCATGGGTATAGATAGTCAGTATTGTAACATTGGTTGTCTTCTTTGCAATCTTGATTAATTTCGGAGCAATGGAACAACATGCTCCGCACCACGGCTTCATAAAATTTACCACTACCTGATCAAACAAATTTGGTTATCCAAATGAGAAACCACAAAATACAGTTGTAAATGCAAAGATGGGGGTTAGCTAGCAAAACAAGGATTTTTTTAGTTTTTTAATTTTTTTTGAAAATTTAACTAGGCTGCTAAATGAACATCATTTTCATAAATAACTGTAGACATTTTTTGGGTCCAAACCAGACGAACTTCTATCATTATTCGTCTCTTTTATCCATAAAGAATTAACATCATAATCTCTATACATGCTCCCGTAAAGAAGAGCATCATTTGTTTAAGGGATAGAGCTCTAAAGCCAATCAATAGATAATAAAAACATCAAACGGAGTACATGACTTACCAGTTTCTTGGAAACTACTCCATTATGGTATTGCTCCTTCCACTCCTCCATGGAGTGGCATTCGGTCATTTGTCCACCACCACCATTATTAGTCGTTTCCATTAGTAACTCCTTCCCCTCCTCCATGAAGTGACCGCTGAGTAAATTTTGTCCATCACCATCATTAGCCATTTCCATAAGTAAATTTTGTTTAAATACCTCAAACTTTTTCTCCTTTTCTTCTTCGTGATAGGTTATTCCCTTTTGATTGCACAACATGTTGAATAACTCCTTTTGACGCTCGTGGAGTTCTTTTTGTATCACACCCAACTCCACCAGCTGATTGTCCAATTCCACCAGCTCTTTAGGCCGTTGATACAAAGTGCTATAAGCCTTCGAATTTTACCACAAAAAAAAAAAAAAAAAATGAAAGGAAAAAGCAAATCATTTGCGGCCATACACATATGAACTACGAATCTGTATAAAAATCAATAAATTAGAGACCTTGAACGCGGAAGCGTAGCGAGTGAGAAAAGGAAGACGACTATAAGTAACTTTATGATTGAATCCCATCGCCGTATTCCCTAGAAACGGAATGCATGCAATCTTACTCAACGCCTTCTCATCCAAATTTCAGTTCCATACAAAATAAATAGTCCAACAAAAAAAATGAAAAAAAAAAAAAACAATCAGTAATTGCGAGCATACACACACATAGTATAAATCTGAATAAAATTGACTAAATGAAAAGACCTTGCACGAGGAAACGAAGGGGTTAGCCATGGTGTGCGGGAACCGACAACTTTTGAGAGAGAGATGTTTTCTAGGTTTAGCAAAGGAGGGATAAAAACTAAAAAAAAGTTTTCCGTACACCTTTGGGAGATTTAGTCCATCTTGTTTGGTGGGTCTTCTGCTGTCACGTGTTCTTTTTTTATTTTTCTAAAACCCCTAAAGGTAAACCCTAGCGGGGAATTT